AGATCATGTAATAGATGGTACTTTCCAGATTTCTTCTTGATTACAAAAATTGGAGTATTCCAAGGACTTGTAGATAAACACAGATGCCATTGTAGATATTGTTCACGAACCAGCTGATGGGCTTGTTCAAGAGTTTCCTGTTTTAAAGGCCATTGCTCCACCCATATCGGAGCATCAGTTGTCCAATGGATGGGAATTGGGAAAGTCCATGCAATGGCCCCATCTATAAAGGGAGCTCTGTTGTGAGGACCATTCCAAGCTGAGAAAGAACATCTCTGCCAATGAGGCGTTGTACACTTTCAGGTAATGGAATGATTGAGATAGTACAGGTAATTCTTTTGCCCTCAATATGCAGAATCAACAAGGGTGATTTCTTCACCAACATAACCCCTCCTACTCCAGACACTGCTGCATTACTAGTTAAGGTTGGCCATCCTTTGGGCCAGTGAGCTGCATCTACAATGCTTGAGTCCGCACCTGTGTCCAGTAATGCCATTAAAGGGATGTTCTTGCCTTGATATTCCAAGCGTACACTTCATTTAGACCTTTGGCTAAGTCCACAGTCACTAAGGTTAGGCCTCCTGTGGAACCAAAACCCTTGTCTTTTCACTGGACGGACGCGTGTGGTGTTATGCCTTGACTCATCTGCGAAAGAATCAATTGGGCTATGCACGATCCTTGTGGAATATGTAACGATGGAATAACAATCTGTACCATAATGTAGATTTTGCCTTGATAATCAGCATCCACTAGTCCAACCAAAACATTTAAGCCTTCCATACTGGTGGATGATCTGCCAATGAGTAAGGCTCCAGTAGCCTGGCCATTGATAAGGATAGGTCCCATTATTCCAGTCGGAATTCGTTGAGGTTTATTATCAATCAGGGTACAGTCTATTGTGGTTGCCAGGTCCAAGCCGAGGCTTCCTGTAGTTGCGGGTCGGAGTTGATGTCTGCCCCCTGCTGTGCAGGAAAAGCTGCTGATGTTGGAGCTGCTGCTTGTGTCATAGCGCAGCGCCCCCTCGCGCTGGGCCGTCCGTTTCCCGACTTCTGATTTCTGCAGCATGCCTTGTTGCTGTGCGAGTTAGTTTTACAGAAGCGGCACCATACTTGACTTACAGTGCACTCCCTGCGGATAAGGCCATAACCTCCACATCTAAAGCATGTGATTTGAGGTGGAGTTGAGCCTTCTGACTTTGTTGTAGCCGTTTACAAGGGTGCAAGAGCAGCCATTACTTGACTCTGGGTCGTGGCAGCCTGTTCTTTCAAGGCACTCCCTAATTCTTTTACTGCCTGCACCAGCATAGCTTGCATGCCTACCGGGACCGGTAACCGGCACACCTACCGGTACCGCTGGCCGATCTTTCCTAAAAAGCACATAGCCCTCCATGACAACATTCCAGTCATGCGAGCTGTTCCACCACATCTCCGTGATCGCAATTAGATTGTAGCCGTGCGACCGCATACAGATCTCCAACTCTTCCTGTTTATTTCCCATGCTGCGCGCATTAGTGTATAGACACTTCAGGGAAGCAGCATTCCCCTGCCACACTCCATCCCTTCGAACTCCACCCTCATCACCCATCAAGTTCTCTTTTGAACCTCGAACTACCCACACAGCCTCAGCAGCCCTCATTTGACGGAGACCAGCTCAAGACGCCTGGGACAGACGGGCTGAGGCTCTGGTGGCGCAAGAAGCAAAGTTTATTGTTGTTACAGGGTTTTTATATCTTTTAGTTACAGGAGTATACAATACTTAAATCAGATAACATTCATGCAGCTGACAGCAATACATCATTACTTAATTAGCTCTTTGTGGATTATGGTCAGTACAGTGATCAAAAGGTGTTCTCTCCACAGAACACGTTCTGCTCCTGGTCACGGAACAAAGAAGCTGTAACTTATGCTTGCCAGTTTCACATGGCAGTCCTTCCCTTTCAGGAGGGGCTGCATGTTTCACGTGGCAGTCCTTCCCGCATGTTTCACATGGCAGTCCTTCCTTTTCAGGAGGGGCCGCATGTTTCACATGGCAGTCCTTCCCTTTCAGGAGGGGCTGCATGTTCCCTGTTTGACCCTTTCAGGCCAGCCAGGTCTGTTTTGCTTAACAGTCTTCATCACTCATTTTGTCCCCTTCCCCCATCTTACCTAGTTTAAAGACCTTTCAATGAGGCCTGCCAGCTCCTGGGCTAGGATCCTTTTACCCCTTGCAGACAGGTGAACTTCATCTGCAGCCGTCATGCCAGGAGCCAATTAAATTGCACCATGGTCAAAAAAACCAAAGTTCTTGTGCCTGCACCAGCCTCTAAGCCATTTATTGATGAGGAGGGTTTTTTTGATCCTCTCAGTGTCATTGCCCGCCACTGAAGGGATAGAAGAGAGGACCACCTGCACTCCTGCAACATCCAGTATCCTCCCCAGACCTTGAAGTCATTTTTGATAGCCCTTAGGCTTCTCTTGGCAGCATCATCACTGCCAAACTGAACTACCAATAAGGGGTAGTACTCAGATCGGCTAATAAGCCCAGGAAGCTTTCCAGAGATGTCTCTGTCCTGTGCCCTAGGGAGGCAGCACACTTCCCTCCGGGTGGAGTCAGGTTGACATATCGGGCCCTCGACCTATAGTAATGTCCAGGGATTACAGTGGAATAGAGGAAAGTGGCGTTTTGGTTGGTGTTGTGGACTGGGCTTTAAAGAGGAATATGCATGTGGTCACACTAACGTACTACCTATGAGGTGTGGACTTTGGGGAACAATAAAGGATCAATGAAATTGAATATGGGGGAACACGGGGAAAGGAAGTTCCCAAGAAAATTCCACTTCATATACTGCTGGGGAGCCTGGGGGCTCCATGAGCAATACAACTTTAATAAAAAATTGTAATCAATGGTGTTTGGAAGGTGATGACCATTTAGCAGTTAATTTTCTTTGTGCCAAGGCAGGAGATGAGACGCTGGAAGCGACCAGCTTTCATCTGCAGAGATCGGGGAAACTGGATATCCCAGTGTTAGCATGGGAAGCCTTAGCAGGGGAGGAGCTGAGAGCAGGGCTGTAGGACCCAGAGATCTCCTCAGGAGGAGCTGAAGGGGAGAAGCTGGAAAGGCCCAGGACAGAAAAGCAGTGCAGTAAGAGGCACTGGATTTGTTAACAGATGCAATAACAGTTAAGGGTGGAGAAGATTAAGCTAAGGAAGGAATTGCAGCCAAGTGTGGAATTGGTAGTAACTAGAGCAACTTATTGGGTGTGAAATACTTCTCTAACTCCAGTAAGTGATGAATTTGTAACCATAGGGGAAGCCACTGGCACAAGTGAGGAGGTTTACTTTCTTAAGCCTTTACAACTTAGTATAGGTAAACAGGTAGGGATACACAAATGTTTGTAGGTGCCAAATTCACCAAAGCCTTTACTAAGGCAAGATTTACTAGAACAACTGGAAGCCACAGTCTTTTGGTTTTCTCTGTCCATGTCTGCTGAACTTGTTCATATCTCCCAAGGTCTTCTGCTAATCAGAGTGAGAATGTCTGTATTTTGTCCTGGGGAATTACAGATGAAAGGAAGCAAAATACAGGACCTGGATAACCTAATCGAGGGGGCTTGGAGGGTATTCGCAAAACATAGGACACAGGGGTGCAGACTTTGGTCCCAGACAGTAAGAGTTAAAACTGAGGGTAAAGCAAGGTATTCAAGATAAGACCGAATCTTGATAGAGGACTTAGGAGAGCATGTGGGAGAAGGAGGGTGGATTAGGGTTCTGTCATGGAGTTGACTAGATCAATCTATGTCCGTGACAGGGGCGACAGGCCTCTGCCCTCCCCCCCCCCCACCCCTGTCCCCTGTTTCCGAGCTGAGGTTCAAGCTAAAGGGGAAAATCCCCAAGTCAAATCTAATCAATCACAGGAAACACCAGTAACAATACCAGTTGCTCCTGTGGTGGGCAAGAAATGGAAACGAGTGTCTTCACATCTTGAACGAAAAAGAGAAGAGGAGGAGGAGGTGGAGGAAGATCCAGGCGAGGGGCCCTCCTCAGAACCACCACTGTTGCGAAAGGCAAAAGGGAAAACTAAGAGACGTGCAGAAGAGAGTGATGAAGAGGAAGTCTCTATTACTACTCGCCGGCCTCTAAAGATGACTGAAATCCAAGGTTCAAGAAAGGAGTTTACACGGCACCCGAATGAAACTCTTGTTTCCTGGTTGGTTCGCTGTTGGGACAGTGGGGCCCTGCCCTCAGTCAGGAGGGGGAAAGGGATAATAGAGTATATTGGACTGTGTGGATTCGATGGCCTGGCACATCAGAACCACTGAAATATAAGGCACTGGTGGACACTGGTGCACAGTGCACTCTGATGCCCTCGAGTCACCAAGGGACAGAATTAATCCATATTTCTGGAGTGACCGGGGGCTCTCAAGAATTGACTGTGTTGGAGGCTGAGATAAGCCTCACTGGTAAGGACTGGCAAAAACATCCTATTGTGACGGGCCCAGGGGCTCCATGTATACTAGGTATTGATTATGTCAGAAGGGGGCATTTCAAGGACCCTAAGGGGTATCGATGGGCCTTTGGAATAGCTGCTGTGGACACAGACAACATTAAGCAGCTGTCTGTTTTGCCTGGCCTGTCAGAAGATCCATCTGTTGTGGGGCTGCTGCGAGTAAAAGAGCAACACGTACCGATTGCTACAAAAATGGTGCACAGGCGGCAGTACCGCACCAACAGAGATTGTTTGCTCCCCATTCATAAGTTAATTCATCAACTAGAGAGCCAGGGAGTGATCAGCAAAACTCACTCGCCTTTTAACAGCCCCATATGGCCAGTGCGTAAAGCCAGTGGAGAATGGAGGCTGACGGTGGACTACCGTGGCCTGAATGAAGTCACACCCCCTCTGAGTGCTGCAGTGCCGGACATGTTAGAACTCTAATATGAACTGGAGTCAAAAGCAGCCAAATGGTATGCCACCATTGACATTGCTAATTGAGGAAGACTGTCAAGCAAAACAGACCTGGCTGGCCTGAAAGGGTCAAACAGGGAACATGCAGCCCCTCCTGAAAGGGAAGGACTGCCATGTGAAACATGCGGCCCCTCCTGAAAGGGAAGGACTGCCATGTGAAACTGGCAAGCATAAGCTACAGCTTCTTCGTTCCGTGACCAAGAGCAGAACGTGTTCTGTGGAGAGAACACCTTTTGATCACTGTACTGACCATAATCCACAAAGAGCTAATTAAGTAATGATGTATTGCTGTCAGCTGCATGAATGTTATCTGATTTAAGTATTGTATACTCCTGTAGCTAAAAGATATAAAAACCCTGTAACAACAATAAACTTTGCTTCTTGCGCCACCAGAGCCTAAGCCCGTCTGTCCCAGGTGTCTTGAGCTGCTCTCCGTCATTTGGTGCCGAAACCCGGGAATCTCGGACTCCAATGACAAAGGCGTCGCTTCCTCCCACGAGCCGCGGTTGGTAAGTTGAAATAGGGAGGTAAGGACTGGGGAATTGGACAGATTGTTAAATAAAATGGGACAAGCTGCAAGTACTGAACGAGGCCTTTTTTCTGCATGCTGAAATCATTATTAGTTGCCCGAGGAGTAAAAGTGACTCGGGGTCAGATTAGTCGTTTTTCAGATTTTATAGAGGAAGTATGCCCCTGGTTTCCCAGGGATGGAACTATTAATATTGAAACATGGAACAAAGTAGGTGAAAGACTCCAGGGCTATTATGCTGTGCATGGTCCTGAGAAGGTACCTATTGATACCTTTACACTTTGGACTCTAATAAAAGAATGTCTCAAAGGAGACACAGGAGATGAGAAGTGGCAGCGGACCACGCGCTCAACAGAAAAGTTATATCCTGCCTTGCCGCAATCAAAATCTCTTGATCATATCCCTTCGTCTATGCCATCGGCACCCCCACCATCCCCTCCCCAATATGAGCAACCTTTGATTTGTAAATTAGCAAACGACTTGCCGCCTTGTAAACCTCCTGGCACTAACATAACAAAGGATATTTTACCCCCTGATGATTGGGGAGAATTAGAAAAAGAGGCTGCTGAATATCACCATAAGGACTTAGCGGCTGTATTCCCAGCGTTACAGGTTGCTGATGCCGCTGTGCAGACACAGCAGATAGTCGATCAGGCTCGATCAGATTCCCTTGCTGTTTTGCCTGCCTTTCGAGCAGGGCGAATGCCTCCCCTGCCTGGAGTAGATGCTTTGCTTATGCAACAATCTCCTATGCAATTAGCATTAAAAGAAGGTAGGAAAGCTGAGGAAACAATAGATTAATTTTCTGGGCAACTTTTTCCGTCTCAAGTTTTCCCTGTCATACAGCATCAACTTGCAAACGGTGGCATTCTGAATGATTATGAGCCTATTCCTTTTAAACAACTGAAAGAGCTTAAAGCTGCTAATATTCTTCCCCCTTCTGACTGGAAAAGCTTGGCAAAGGCTGTGTTAAGTGAAGGTGAATATTTGCTTTGGACTTCCGAATATGCGGAACGGTTCTTCTTGTGCCCCTTTATTACCAGTTCCTCATTTTGGAGTGAATCCCAGAGGATTAATGCCTAATGATTTATGGCAGATGGATATCACACATGTACCTTCTTTTGGAAAATCTTCTTATGTCCATATAACAATTGACACTTTCTCTCACTTTGCAGTAGCCGTCAGCCTTGTCTGGTGAAAAACTTTCTCATGTATGCAACCATCTTTTGCATTGTTTTAGCGTTATGGGAACACTGAAATCATTAAAAACCAATAACCGGCCAGCTTATGTAAGTAACGGTTTTGCAACCTTTTGTCGACATTTTAAAATTTACCATAAAACTGGAATTCCATATAATCCAGAAGGCCAAGGCAGAGTAGAAAAATTTAATCATTTACTGAAAACTCAAGTAAAGAAAATAAAAAGGGGGACATGGGGAATTAAAGATACTCCATTCTCTATGTTATCATATGCATTATTTGTTTTAAATTTTTTGACACTGGATGATAACGGAAAATTGGCTGCGAATAGATATTGGAGTAATAAAACAAGAGATAAACCAATACAATATTGGAGAAATCCAATGGACGGTAAAATTTATGGTACTGATCCTGTACTAATTTGGGGCAGAGGATATGTTTGTGTTTTCCCTACAGATGAAACCTCACCATGGTGGATACCGGAGAGATACGTCCGTCATGCCGGAAACAAAGATGGGAAAACTGCGGAGGAAGATGCAGAGACTGACTCTAACCCAGACGTGGGAAAGAAAGATGCAAGTGAGAATACGACTCGTGGCCCTAATCCTTAGTACCTTTTGGATCCTACATCATGGCTGTAAGGCAGAAACATATTGGGCATTTGTACCCAATCCTCCTATCATTCAATTCAATATTCAGATATTCAATATTCAGATGGACACATAATAGAGTTCTCTGCGCGTTTTAATTATTCTGGAAAGGTTGATGGTGTGCCTATATGTTTTCAGATGAATCAAACACAATCCCTGTGTGAGAAAGTGGTAGTGTAAAATGACTGGGATACCAATGTTTCAACAGGAATTCATTGGGCTCTGAATTTTCTCTATATAGATTTAGCTAATGAGACAAGAGGTTCTGGAATGCCTCCCTTAAATTTTCCTTTATGTCAAAGCACAATCACTCCAAAAACAGAATTTGCACCTTTATGGAGAGCATGTCGAGCTAACGAAACGGTGTGCATTGATTCCACTATCTGTGATTGGAATATGATAGGAAATCAAGGGCGACCAATTAATTTGGTCTCAGGAATTTGGACAAAAAACAATCATACGTTCTATTCTAATTTATGGAAAGCAGTCGCAGCTATGGAAAAAATCAAAGCAAAACGATTAAACTTGACTTGGATTCAAATAAATAATAAATGGGCAATGACTGCAGAGAGTTATACAACTGAATTTTATATGCGAGCTTGTGTTCCAGAACCTTATGCCTTTTTAAGCGGACCACTAAATATTGTGAATAGCATAGTGAGTTGTACCGATTGTATAATCTCTAATTGTCTTAATAGTAGCAGTAGTTCCTTCTTGTTAGTAAAGCAACCCGATTACGTCTATCTTCCTGTAAATTTGACACATTATTGGTATGCTGATAAGGGAATGGAAATTCTCCAAGAAACTTCTTTGCAATTAATAGAGAGATCTAAGCGAATGGTCGGATTAATAATAGCCAGAATAGCTGCGCTCATTGCTGCCATAGCAGTAACTACAGTAGCTTCTATTTCTTTAACAACTAGTATTCAGACAGCAGCTTATGTTAATGAATTATCAATTAATGTATCTAAAGCATTACAAAATCAAGCTACATGGGATGAAAAGATTGAACTGCGTCTCAATTCCTTAAAGGATACAGTAGACATCCTGGGAAGACAGTTACAAATTATAGCTACTCGTGAATCTCTCTTGTGTCATGCAGAATACCGAGCTATCTGTGTGACTCCTGTTGAATACAATAATACCAAATTCTCTTGGAACAAAATACAAGATCATCTTCAAGGCATATGGAATAATGCGAACACGTCATTAGATCTTAGGGAATTGAGACAGCACATTCACGATATGATACAATCGCACCATGTAGATCTTTCAGTAGCAACTCAAACTACTACATTTATAAGCGCTCTAAAATCTGCATTTCCGTCCTTCAAATCATTTAGAAAAGGAATTTATGGGCTGACAGTCATTGCCATAATAATAATCATAGGAATTCTTGCTTGTCCATGCTTGATGAAAATGATAACAAATAGATTCCAAAATTTGCGTATAAATCTTAAAAAATTGGAGATGGAAAACACAAAAAATAAACCACCACCACCTCTGGTCTAATAAAATAAAAAAGGGTGGAATGAGGAAGACTGTCAAGCAAAACAGACCTGGCTGGCCTGAAAGGGTCAAACAGGGAACACGCAGCCCCTCCTGAAAGGGAAGGACTGCCATGTGAAACATGCGGCCCCTCCTGAAAGGGAAGGACTGCCATGTGAAACTGGCAAGCATAAGCTACAGCTTCTTTGTTCCGTGACCAGGAGCAGAACGTGTTCTGTGGAGAGAACACCTTTTGATCACTGTACTGACCATAATCCACAAAGAGCTAATTAAGTAATGATGTATTGCTGTCAGCTGCATGAATGTTATCTGACTTAAGTATTGTATACTCCTGTAGCTAAAAGATATAAAAACTCTATAACAACAATAAACTTTGCTTCTTGCGCCACCAGAGCCTAAGCCCGTCTGTCCCAGGCGTCTTGAGCTGGTCTCCGTCAGCTAATGCCTTCTTTTCCATTCCTTTGGCCAAAGAATGTAAGCCACAGTTTGCTTTCACCTGGAGGGGCATTCAGTATACCTGGAACCGTTTGCCCCAGGAGTGGAAACACAGCCCGACCATTTGCCATGGGCTGATCCAAACTGTATTGGAACAGGGCAGTGCTCCTGAGCACCTGCAGCACATTGATGATATCATTGTGTGGGGCGATACAGCAGAAGAAGTCTTTACAAAAGGAGAGCGAACGATCCAAATTCTTCTGAGTGCTGGTTTTGCTATTAAGCGAAGCAAAGTGAAAGGACCTGCCCAGGAGATTCAGTTCCTAGGTATAAAGTGGCAAGATGGCCGTCGTCACATCCCGACAGATGTGATCAACAAAATCACTGCCATGTCTCCACCCACTAGCAAAAGAGAGACACAATCTTTTCTGGGTGCAGTGGGCTTTTGGAGAATGCATGTTCCAAACTACAGCCTCATTGTAAGCCCCCTTTATCATGTGACACGAATGAGAAATGAGTTTACATGGGGCCCTGAGCAGCAGCAGGCTTTTGAACAGATTAAACAGGAGATAGCCCGTGCCGTGGCCCTAAGGCCAGTACGGACGGGACAGGGTATAAAGAACATCCTCTATACCGCTGCTGGAGAGAACGGTCCCACTTGGAGTTTGTGGCAAAGAGCCTCGGGAGAGACTCGAGGCCGACCCCTGGGATTCTGGAGTCGGGCGTACAGAGGGTCTGAAGAGCGCTACACTCCAACTGAGAAGGAGATCTTAGCTGCATATGAGGGAGTTCAGGCTGCTTCCGAAGTAGTCGGTACTGAAACACAGCTTCTTCTGGCACCTCGACTGCCAGTGATGTTTAAAGGAAAGGTTCCCTCCACCCATCATGCTACTGATGCCACTTGGAGTAAGTGGATTGCACTGATTACACAACGAGCACGGATGGGGAAACTCAGCTGTCCAGGAATCCTAGAGGTCATCATGGACTGGCCTGAAAGTAAAAAGTTTGGAACACCACCAGGAGAAGTATCACGTGCTAAAGAAGCCCCGCCATACAATGAACTACCAGAGAATGAAAAGAAATATGCCCTGTTCACAGATGCATCGTGTCGTATTGTGGGAAAGCATCGCAGATGGAAATCTGCTGTGTAGAGCCCCACACGACAAGTTGCAGAAGCCACTGAAGGGAAAGGAGAATCAAGGCAATTTGCAGAGGTAAAGGCTGTCCAACTGGCCTTAGATGTCGCTGAACGGGAGAGGTGGCCAATGCTCTATCTTTACACTGACTCGTGGATGGTAGCGAATGCCTTATGGGGGTGGTTACAGCAGTGGGAGCAAAATAACTAGCAAAGAAGGGGTAAACCTATTTGGGCTGCTGAACTGTGGAAAGACATTGCTGCCCGAACAAAGACTATAGTTGTAAAGGTGCGTCATGTAGATGCTCATGTGCCCAAGAGTTGGGCTACTGAAGAACAGCAAAATAACCATCAGGTAGACCGAGCTGCCAGAATTGAGGTGGCTCAAATAGACCTGGACTGGCAGAACAAGGGTGAATTATTTCTGGCTCGGTGGGCCCATGAGACCTCAGGTCATCAAGGGAGAGATGCAACATACAAATGAGCTAGAGACCGAGGGGTGGACTTAACTATGGATGCCATTGCACAGGTTATTCATAACTGTGAAACATGTGCCATCATCAAACAAGCCAAGAGGATGAAACCTCTGTGGGAGGAAGGGCGATGGCAAAAGTACAAATATGGGGAGGCATGGCAGGTTGATTATACCACCTTGCCACGATCTCACAATGGCAAGCATTATGTGCTTACTATGGTGGAGGCAACCACTGGGTGGCTTGAAACCTATGCAGTACCCCATGCTACCGCCCGAAACACCATACTGGGTCTCGAGAAACAAGTCCTGTGGCGACATGGCACCCCAGAAAGGATTGAGTCAGATAACAGGACTCATTTCAAAAATTCTCTTGTAAATACTTGGGCCAAAGATCATGGCATTGAGTGGATTTACCATATTCCCTATCATACACCAGCCTCTGGTAAAATTGAACGATACAATGGATTGTTAAAAACGATGCTAAAAGCACTGGGTGGCGGAACATTTAAGCACTGGGAGAAGCATTTGGCAGAAGCCACCTGGTTGGTCAATACCAGAGGATCTATCAATCGTGATGGTCCTAACCAATCCAGTTCCCTACATACTATAGAGGGAGATAAAGTCCCCGTTGTACATGTAAAGAACATGTTAGGAAAGGCAGTTTGGGTTCTTCCAGCTTCTGGAAAGGGCAAACCTCTCCATGGTACAGTTTTTGCCCAGGGACCAGGATGCACTTGGTGGGTAATGCAACAGAATGGGGATGTACAGTGTGTACCACAGGGAAACTTGATGCCAGGGGAGTGCAGTTACTAATTCTATGTATATATATGTATATATATAGCTATGTGTGTGTAATGCATTGTAATCATTTTTTTGTATATATGTATATATATTTTAAGCATGATGTAACAATGTAGAATAAGGGGTGGAATGTCATGGTTCTATGTTTCTTGTTTCTTTGTTTGTTTTTATTTTGGGTTTCAGTATTCCACATCAAAACATCATGTAGTGTACGGGGTATTAAAGTGTTAACGCCCAATCTCAGGTACCTATCCCTGTACATTACAGAAGTTTTCCTCCATAGATTGTTGCCGCTGCTCTTTTCCTCCCTTCCTTCCTTCCCATTTTTTTGTGGGACCGGGGTGAGGGGGGAAGGGAAGAGGCCTGCCGCCCCTGTCATGGACATAGATTGATCTGATCAACTCTGTGACAGGAGGAAAACTTATTTTACTATACTATTGGAATACAAGAAAACACAATATATACAATTTAATTGAAATTGAGATTAATAAATCAGACAAGATGAGAGAGAGAGAGAGAGTTCCCGGAACTGAATCAAACCTGAAAAGCTTGGAACGGCTAGGAAAGCACCTCCAGCATCCACTGCTAGGCAGCAAGAGAGCGGCCCCCCGCCACCCAGAAGGGCCAGATCCCGTGACTGCTGTAATGTACAGGGATAGGTACCTGGGATTGGGCATTAACACTTTAATACCCCGTACACTACATGATGTTTTGATGTGGAATACTGAAACCCAAAATAAAAACAAACAAACAAACAAACAAACAAACAAACAAGAAACATAGAACTATGACAGGTTCAGAACAAAGTAAGAGTTCCCGCCTCCTTATTATGGGCCATAATCATGGCTGAGCACAGGAAAACTCACTGGGGAACCGAGACCCTGTATAAATACTTGAGGCAACAGATTGTGGCTTGGAATTTATACACACCGCTAAGCAGGTAACACAGCAATGTGAGATTTGTTTACAGAATAGTCCTAGAACAGGCCCCAGGGTGCCACCGGACCACTGGAGCTAAGGATTGGGAGACAATATGTTTAGAATGTGTTCTACAGGTTGCATGTGTTACATAAGACTTGCTTCAGCCTGGTGTGAAAATACCTATTTAAACATCACTAAAGGAACAGTGGTTAGCCTAAAGCTCCCTGATTGCAGGATATGTACAGCCTTACCAAGAGATGGAGGAATGGAAGTCCCTCAGTGTGGGACTCCCTCCACCAATTGGATACCATGGGGTGGAGCAGGAAGTAGGCGTAGGTGTGCAAATAAAATCAGAACAATAGGAAAAAGGACCTAAATTCAGTGTACAGCTATAGGCAGGCCTCAATGTAAGACACTTCCTGAGAACTAGAAGGACATTAACTGGGAGGATGCTTAGTGCTTCAATGGAACAGCTCCTTCCCCAGGGATGCTGAGAAGCTCTTGGAAAAGGGTGAAGTGGGGAATAACCCCCTTATAGTCAGGCCCTGTGGGTTCCATAGTTTTATTGGATGGTTTATTCCTAGTCCAGGAGTAAGTGAATCAGAAAAGGCAATTGTCAGTATAGCAGCTACACTGGAGAATATCAAGAGCTCAACTGTGGATGCTATACTTGGATTGCAGACAGAGGTGTCCTCTCTTAGTCAAGCAGTATTGCAGAATGGAATGGCTCTTGATCTCCTGACGGCCAAAGAAGGAGGGGTGTGGGCTAGAATTATTCAAAACTGACACAACTCAATAAAAGACACAGATGTGCACACTAAACTGTGGGAACAAATTCAGGTGATCCACCAATTTACTTTGGATAATACCTCGTTTGGATTTACAGAGCTGTGGAGCAGATTAACCAGTTGGTTAGCGAGCTTTGCCTGGCTAAAGCCACTCTTCAAGGCTTGCGCAGTCTTACTCTTTCTTGGAATATTCGTACGCGTTGTGACGTTATTTCTTGAGTGTGTTTAATGGAAGCAGCATAAGCTGCGCCAAAAGATGGAGAGTGGGGCGTGTTTTCCATAAATCCCCAGGAGAGAATGGCATCATCTAGCAACGTGATGCTTGCCAGGTTATAGAAAAGGGGGGAATTGGTTTGGAACATACTTCTGTAGAATTGTTTAGGAATCGTGCACTGGGTAAGGAGATGTGGAGCAATGAAAGGTGAAACCGAGGCTTCAGGGAGGGATGTCAGAGCAGGGGGTTGAGTCACTCCTC